AGTGTCGGCCTATGCATTGGCTTATTATTGCCCAGATTGGTCATATGTTGTTTTGGACCTCACTTAGCAGATCGGTATGCTAGCAGGCTGTACATTACATTTTTTGCTGTGATTCGTATCTATTTAGATATCAAAAAAGAGAATTCCGTTGAACGGATATCACATCTGCTGCATATGCAGTCCCTGTACACACTATTTGCCAACCCCTGTTGCGGAAACTAGACAGGAGGGGCAAATATCAGTCACACATTATGAATCCTTGAATATATGGTCTTAATCTGTTTAAAGGTTGGATGCCCTTTAAGTTGGGCCTGAAATTGTTTGGGGCTGTCCGGCCTTACATTTTACTGACTGCATAAAATGTTGATGTCATCTCAGATTTCCTAGAATGAAAAATGCAATTTGAATTGTTAGCTGCTGTCCATTTGTGGAAGGGCCCTTAATCTGCACACTGGACATGTACTTTTCATCTTCTAAAAGCCCCGAAAAAAGAGCAGAGTCTAAGGCGAGCCATAACAGCTAGCAGGTGCATACATAATTGTGAAATAATTATAAGCTGGCCTTTGTTGCTCCTTCTCTGCAAGGTACTCCAGTGTTCAAGCTGATATTAGGTATTCACTCACATAGCGAGAACACCTTGTTACTAATTGCATTTACATATGTATGAACCAATAAATTGGAATTTTCTTTTGACAAACTCATCCTAGAAGGACAAAACATTCTTTAAAGGTTTTCATTTTGGATACGTTATCCTGTTACCTAGACATTTACTGCCGTCTGCTACAGTGATTCTGTGGAAAACAAGCAAAATGAATTTAGATGGCTTCCTGTTGAGCTAACTCTTTTGTTATGCAAATACATATTTAAAGGGCATCACATCCTGGAGAATCAGTGTATTTAACTAGAGGGTTTTTTCTAGAATCCAATTATTTCTTTCCTGTTCAACGTGCTTTCTTGAACTAATTTTGTATATCAAAATGGGGGAAAAATTAAGGGGTTGCTCATACCAAATGTAATTCCATACAGTTTGCTATATTTGAATGGCAGAGAAACTCCATAGTGCTTTAAAAATCCATTAGTGTGTCAGTCGGACCTGTTTTCACCACTCTATGGCATTTTTAACACTGCTATTAAACTACTGATTTAATGGCACATTTGCTTAGATTATCAAAGTTTCATATGTGAATGATCCCTTGCTTTACAGCTCTGTTTAAAAGATACCAAGAAGGCATTGGTAATTATGATTAAATTACTTTCAGGTCATGAAATCACTCCAGACTATGACAGATATATGCTTTTATTACTTGGGTATTACAGCCCACATTGTATTCAATTCTGAGGATATCAGAGGTCATCTTTAGTATTATTTGATCAGAATAGAGGATCTGATGTCTGTCCTGTAATGTTTATGCAGTATTCGATTTCCCCAGCGACATATTTTGCTGTTCAATATATATGTTACAATGGTTTTGACTATTATTTTTTTGTTCTGTCATTTTCTAGAACTGGTTGGACCCTGCTAAAGAAATTAAGAAACAAACACGGAGTAAGCTTTACATTTTTTTCAGTTTTACTCAATATGGCATTTGATATTCAGTTTCAATAATAGCAGTTTATGATTACTTTGTGATTGAGAGTGTTACCTAATATTAGTGGTTTGTGATTACTTTGTGAATGAAAGTATTACCTAATATCGGTGGTTTGTGAATACTTTATGATTGGAAAGTATTGCCTAATGCATGCTGCAAGGCTTGCCTTAGATAACACTGTCTGGGTAGTTTTGAGTGGATTGTTAAGCCAGCCAGAAATAAAAGAAATTGGTTTGTTTTAAGGGTGACTGCACTCTCCTGATAATTTGCAGCACATGAAACACTGCAACACCAAGTAGTAGTATTGTCCAGAAGTGCTCTATTTTGTCCAAGGCTGGTCCTTCCCAACAGCCACATCCTAAACCACGTCTTTATTGTAATGATATAGGAACAAATTGGTCAGCTGAATGGCCCATGTTACAACAAGGGTTTTGTTACCTATGGAGCCAAATGTTAGGGTTGAGATGTTACCAGATACACTACAAAATGAGAACTAGATAGTTGGTGTGCCACTCTGCAAGGGACAGTCTGTTACTAAATGTGCCACAGTTTAAACGCGATGGTACCACATGTGCTGCTACTGCAAGAGGGGACACCGGTGAAAGGTGTGCTTCAGTAAAAGGAAGGACTTGTTACCAGATATGCTGTGAGAACTGGTCACTTAGGAATTAATTTATAAACGTTTAATCCAGCATATAGCCAGAAGGATGCCCTTCGCACAGCACTAGCACCCTTAGATGGTGGTGATGAGTGTCACCACGGGGCGCTAGGGCTGTGCCAACAGCATCATTCTGGCTGCACGCTGAGCAGAGCTTTTCTAAATAAACCCCTTCGTGTGCTCCATGTCAAGAGATGTTTCCAGATTTGCCATACTACAAGAACAATGTTATCAGGTGTGCCATGTTACAAAAGAGATGTAACAGATGTATCACACTAAATGAGGGTTATTACCATATGCGATCTGCTGCAAGAGGACATTTAGGAGATGCGCCCCGAAAATGAATTTTTTAATGGTGCCATGCTACATGAGAAAATATCAGATTTGCCACAATACAACATGGGACCTTATTAGATGCACTAGGTTTTAAAGAGAAGCTAATGAGGTGTACCATGCTACAAGAGGGGAGTTTAAAAGATGAGCATACTAGGAGTGGGTTGCCATGTTGTGTGCCATCAGATGGCAGCTGGTTTCAGCACCTGTATAGTATCTTTTTACCCTCTGTTTTTGAAGAATGTACAACAAAATCTCCCTCGTTGCCAGAACACAGACCTCCTGCTGTTCGTATCGGAAGATCTTCCATCTCTTATTGTTAAAGTATTGCATTGCTTTACTTGTCATCTTATTTGTTTTAAGCCTGACTGTGTCTGTCTTCAAGCTCCAGTGGCCAGTCAGGTGCCATGGACAGCACATAACGCATGCTGAGCCTGGCAAATTAAATGAGAAGTTGACTATACCACGTACTGTGGAAAAGAACATTAGAAAGAGAGGAGGCTGTCCACCCTCTGCCGCAGGTCTATGCTCTGTGGAAGAAGATTACTGAAGTATAGTCTTCAAAAACAGCCATAGAGGGGTCCTAGGACCAAGTGTCCCCCAGGCAATGCCGCCTACAGGGCAAGGACTTAACATACCTAACAACAAGTCAGTGCTATCCCTGTCATTAAGTTCCATTTTGTTCTGCATCTGAACTTATAAATAGTTAATTTAAAAAAAATAAAATAAAAATGTTGTACTGTTTATTTTAAAAACCTTTGTATTCTATGAAGCCGTAACATTATTAATAATAAGTCTGTTGTAACAATGGGTTCAATATGAATCATAAGCTGTTAGACATCCAGCTGTGCTGCTGTGTCTTTATAATTTCTGAAGATTACAGTGCCATTGCTCTTTTATTAGACTACTACTTAACTGCTACCAGTACTGTGTGTTAGACATGTCAAACTCAAATGACACCGTGAGCCAAATTGAGTGAAATGTCTAAGGGCCACATGTTTTTATTTTCAGACATAGATTATAGCTTTTTTTTTTTTTAAAGCCCAACTCCAAACATTTTTATTTTACTTTTGGATAGAGTAGGGAAGAGCCAACATTCCTGCCGGGCTTTTGTCTCTGTTTGTGACCCCTTTGGGGAGATTTACAATGTGGCACATTGTAGTGCCATTGATTTCAAATCGCACCCTAACATATTTAAGCATCAAAGAGCAGCAGGAAGATATGGACAGTAATAAAACCTTGTCAAAAGTTCTAACCCTTTCTCTCTAGAAATGTGTTTGCTTTTTTGTCTATGTCCTTGTTGGAGAGACTTCCCATGAGTTCCTGTCCTGGCCGCAAGAGAGGAAATCTTCCAAGTAGGGACACAGACCACAATAAAAACTTTAGAGGTGCTAAACTTTTTCTGCTGAAACAAACTTAAGGGTCCATTCACACCATCCGCATTGAAGCTGCGCTGGCCGTAGTTTCCAGCGCAGCCCCAACGTAAGACATGGCAATTTGCCTTGTCATGGATGGGCTTGATTCACACCAACGCGCTGCAATTGGAATGCAGTGGTGTGCGCTCAAAAAAGTATGGCAAGCTGTATGTTTTTTAACCACAGCAGGACGCGACATGGTACAACCACCTCGCACCCCGCTGTGCCAGTAGAACCATGCAAAATTTTATCCCAGAAAAAAAGACCAAAAAAATATTTCCTAAAGTATTTTTTTAGCTGCAAAACCTCTGTAATTTCTGCATATTTTAAAAAGAAAACCCTGTGTATCTGCAAGCACTATTAGTGTTACCCTCTGAATATATCAAATTATAATGAATGTGCTGTGCTTCATCTAGAACAATACAAAAACAAATCTCTATAATACATTTGTGCTTAAATAATACATGCAATCAAAAAAGTGTTCACAATGAATCTTCTTGTAAATAATAGTCCTCTGGAAAGTTCAATCATATATTCCGTGTTCAAATATACACAAATGTGGAATCACACGTATATAGTGCTCAAGATTTGTCCCAATTGCACCACACTCTTTATCCTTCCACTGTGAAAATTCTTTGTACAAGTCCATACGTCAACTCCAATTATCACCCAGGTGCTCCCCCTCTCAGTGGGCCGCTCACATAATAAATAGACCTGAACAGTTCTAGAATCGCTTTAATGGGTCTCCAATCGATCTTATTCAAAGGCCATCTCTCCACAATCGTTGCACAGAATATGACATCAGTATGTCATTACGATCATATCCAATAAAATATAAAAACAACCCATAGCGTAAAACCGCAAAATTTAAAAAACTCCTTTATTTAAAAAAACTACTCACATGAGGAAAGTAGACCTAAAACTTCAAATAAAATGTATGCTCGACAACTCTCTCTCTCTCCGTGTTACCGTGTTCTCTGGGTGCAGAGACAGATCAAAATTATAATTTAAGTTATAAATGATCATTGAATACTACAAAAATACTTAATGCAGAGTGCGATGAACCACCAATATAAAGTATGAATTAGTATTAATATTTGCAGTTATCACAATGAACATTTGGGCCTTTCACAAACTGAATATGAGAGTGCGAAGACAACGCATAGTATTACAGGCTTTGGGCTTTGCCAGGCAGGTAGAACATGGTAATAAGTGTTGTAACCTATAAGAGTCGGTTGGATTTCAGTTTACTGCAGTCAGTTCTGTTAACGGATAACTGGTTGCTGTAAGCCCCTGTGGTTTGCACAGTTTTATTGTTTTTAGAACTACCATGCAATTAAACCCATATTAATCTGTATGTCAGCAAAGCCAATAGGTGGATTATAAGAGACATTATTATACAATATAATACATGTGGGCAAGGGTGTTATTGGAAAATGCTGGACTCCATAGATGAATATTAATGTTTTTTTCTCTCCTATCTCCAAATCTAATACACTAATATGCACACTCTTAGCAATCAGATGCAGTTGAGTATATTTATTATACATATTGTAATCATTGCGAATTGTATACATAGTTACATAGTATTTGAGGTTGAATAAAGACATATGTCCATCAAGTCCAACCTATTGTGTGTGTGTGTGGGTGTAAAGATCCTCGCGTCATCTCGTTTTTAGGAGTACTTGTACCCCTGTATATTACCGTTTCTCAGGAAATCGTCCAAAAGCCTCTTGAATGATTCCAGACTATTAGCTGAAATTACTGCTTGCGGCAGTGAGTTCCAGACCCTAACCGCGTGAACTGAGAAGAATCCCCTTCGCCCCTTGTGTTTGAATTTTTTTTCTACCAGTTTTAGGTGGTGTCCTCTAGTCTTTGTTACGGAATTAATCGTGAAGAGTTTATTGCTAATGTTGCTATGACTATGGAACATTTTGTATGTGAAAATCATGTCCCCCCTTAATCTCCTAAGTTCCAGCGTGAACATATTTAAATTTAGTAACCGTGTCTCATAGCTCTTGTCCTCCATCCCTTTGATGAGTTTGGTCGCCCTTCGCTGGACTTTCTCGAGTTCAAGGACATCCCCTCTGTGTACCGGTGCCCAAAACTGCACCGCATACTCCAGGTGAGGCCGAACCAGTGATGTGTAGAGTGGCAATATTATAGACTTATCCCTGCAAAACATTCCCTTCTTGATGCAGGACAGGACTCTACTAGCTTTGCTTACCGCAACCTGGCACTGTAATCTATTATTGAGTTTATGGTCTACAGTGACCCCCAAATCTTTCTCCATTTCAGACTTCTGAAATGGTGCTGTTTGAACGAAGACACTGTACTGCAATGCTCTTTAGTCCTCTCTCTATCGGCACAGTTATACTGCAGCACTATATCATAATTTTTTTAATTTTTAGTTGAAATCTGCCTAAATATCACACGCTCTGCATCCTTCCCAGCAGCATTCTCACCCATCACTTTTATTTTTACACCGCTTCTCTGTGTAGCATAATGACCTTGCATCTTCTAGAGCATTCCTGCTGCAGCTCTGATGAAAGTAGTTTTGCAACATGCTGGGTCTCAAATGAGCTAATACTTGCTGAAGTCTAGCATCTACAGACATCAATGTCTTTTTGTTCTCTAACTGACAGTAAACTGGACCCAGGACTTGTTAGTTGTCAGGCTGTAATAGCCTAATAAAAAAGTACAAGACTTCCATTATTTAATGTGTTTTTTTTTTTTTTTTTTCCCCAGCTGTCTCTTGGCAGTTTTCCTTTAATGTAAAATTTTACCCACCTGACCCATCCCAGCTTTCAGAAGACATAACCAGGTATTTAGCCAGCAAACTTGGTATTTGTTTTTTATTTTATACAGTTGTACAATTTTCTAGCTTTTTCAGGTTCATCCTAGCTCTCATATTTCTTGCATTGTGTTTCTCTAGCTCCGAACAGGCCTGATGATTGACCAATAAAATAAAAAAATAAAATTTTTTTTTTTTTTTGGTATACACAGAAAAAGGCTGTATGGGCTCCCAGCTTTTAGCTAGGTTGGCGAAGTCTGGCCGGTACTGCTTTTTATGTTACTACCAAATTGTGAACTGATTAGCTGATCAAAGCAGATGTAGCACTTAAATTGTATTTATTAATTGGATGGCATTTTCAGGATATTAGAAATAAATAAATAAAACTGCCGACATTTAAATGCTTAATGATCAGTTACCAAACGTTTATCAGAAATATTTTTAGAAATAATATCAGAGTACCAGTACTAATAGTGTCACCCTAATTATATTAGCCATTGCTGCTCTTAATTTTTAATTTAGCTCTTGCTGTTTATAATGCATGAATTATCTTTGGCTCTGCCTAATGGATTAATTTTGCAAATCCAGACAAAGACGACAAATGACTTTTTGAGGCCAATGATTTATTGTACTTCTTTGCAAAAAATGTATCTTGGCTGACACAATTATTTGATTCTTTTATAGTCTAAAGGACATACATTTCTAACTTTTATGTACGCAAAATACATGCCATGAATGAATATTATTTACTAGCATTTAAAAGTCATATTGACGTATTTGATGACACTATCCCATTATATGGTATTCTGTGACAATGAAACATTTTTGTAGCAGTTGGGATTAGGCAGACAGCTTTGCATTATAGCTAAAATGTTTCCTTACTATAATGTTGTTTACAGAACATGCATTGAAACCCTTAGCAATCAGCTTCGATTGCTAAGGTGGCTCTGGACGGCCAGTAACAGATATGTGACTAGTTGTTTATGAGTTAAATACAAAATGTAGTATTTGCACAATCGTATTAATCCTAATTATGCCAGGCCCATCACCTAATCCTGTTCTTTTATTTTTTTTTTATTGTTTATCCTGTTTGTGATTTGAAAGAAAATTATAAAGTTACCATTTGTAGTGTATACTGTGTTCGCCGCTTTTATCCTAAATGGCCTCATAACGCAGCTGCATTATTAATCCTCAACAAACTACAGTCCTTTCTGCTAGAATAACTCATTTATTACAAGAAGCATGTAGATAATTTTTGAGTGTGTGTTTGTGGGTGTATATGTGAAAGGACCTGTCCTGCGCAGTATATCATATCTGATCTAAACTAGGAAACCAGCTTGGCTCCCATTATATAATGTAGGCTCTTAGTATTTTCCCCTGGTTTCTTTGGGATGTGAATTTGTGCAGCTTTTTTGACATCTGTTGAATTAATTGCTAGAATTTTGAATTAGATTTTGTGGAACAGCACACACTCATACTGATGGTCTTAAGACCATGTACATGTACCATAGGTGAATGTTAACACTTAATCATTTTAAAACCATATATTCTATTTTAAGTAGATTGGCATTCTTAAAAAATTTGACTGTTTCAAAACCAGATAATGGTCCTATTCCTTCAATACTCTATCAAAATCTAAAAAAAGTTTAGCCTTTAGTTATACGCTAACGCCATACTAAAAACAGCAATAATGGGCAGTAACCTAAAGGGTTAATTCACCTTTCCCAAAAAATTGAAAAAGCCAACTAAGTCAAAACATCCTCTTACCCCTAACCCCCAACACCGCCCCAAAAAAGATTCTTATTCTCCCCACTGCTGCCATTATTCTGCTATTATTATTCTGCCGGTTTCACGTGTCAGAACATTATACTGGCTGAAGTGGACGACGGAAGATTATCATCGTTGCAGCTAAGGGCAGCAGGGACTAGGACTGGGGTTGTTGTGACTTATCTTGCCTTTTCATTTTTTGTAAAAAAAAAAGTAAACTGACCCTTTAAAACCAATATGAAATTACATTGACCAAAGTAAACTGCTGAAATCTGACTTCTAAATATCTACTATGGTGCACAACATATCATTGCTATTCCTAAAGAAACGTATCATAGTCATACATAGATGTTAATGTGCATTCCTTTTTATGGTTTAACATGTACTTCTATTCCCTATAGGTATTACCTCTGTTTGCAGCTACGAGATGACATTATATCAGGGCGTCTCCCTTGTTCCTTTGTTACGCTTGCTCTCCTGGGATCCTACACTGTACAGTCAGAATTAGGTGACTATGACCCTGATGAATATGGCAGCGACTATGTCAGTGAATTCCGTTTTGCGCCAAACCAAACAAAGGAACTAGAGGACAAAGTAGTCGAGCTGCACAAAAGTTATAGGTGAGCCAAAATTAATTTGATACCTTATTATAAAATGCAGACCATTTTAGGTAAAGTAATACAAAGATTTTGTTTAACAAGACCAGTATCTTTTATCCTTCATTTTATCATTAACATTATTGTAATTGATATTCCTGTTTTGTACTCTCTCACAAAATAATTACAAACATTTTACATTGAATTTAATAATCCATAAAATAAAAACCTCAACTATTAATGAGATGTTTGCCAGTACTTGCTTTAGTCTTAAAGCATGTCTAAACCCAAAAACTAAAATTGTGTATATTTCCCCTTACCAATGCTTAGATGTGGTAGCTCCATTAGTTTTCTTTTTTTGTTTTAGGCTTTGTACATTTTCAAGTATAGAATTCTAATCCTGATAGAAAACTTGTGTAACTTCTTGTTCACTGAACGTTTATCTCAAACAATGTTATAAGCTTTCCAAGCTATCTTTTGTAAACTACACAGCCCCTTTTCCCAATGTAATGAAGAGAAAAAATTGTTTTGAGTCCAAGTCAGCCTTGACAACGCTGCTCCTGCATAGATACAGTGCAGTAAGTGAGCGTTGTTACTAGGGATGCATCGATACTGGTATCGGTGACGATACTGAGCCTTTGAGTGAGTATTCGTATTCGCCCAAATGCTCCGATACTGACCCCGATACCAGAACTTCCGTTCCGAGGGTTATTCCCTCTGACCGGCAGTGCCGCAAGGGAGCATGGTGTCGGCTTCCCGGCCAATTAGGAAGCCGGGTGGCGGGTCAGCCTCCTGGCTTCCTGATTGACTAAGAAGCTGGCTTCACACTGCCTAGCGACACTACGAAGCAGCCAGGCCTCCTGACCAATCAGGAAGCCGGATGACAGGTCGCGACCCGCCGCCCGGCTTCTTGATTGGTTAGGAAGTCAGGCTGCCTCGCAGGGTCACGAGGGAGCGTGAAGCCGGTGTGCTTGCGATTGTACTTCCTGATTAGCTGGGCCCACACTACCTTGGGATGCCGGTATCGGTATTGGCGAGCACCGAAACAAAAATATATGTACTCAATACTGGAAAAACGGTATCGGTGCATCCCTAGTTGTCACCCTAGGACAGGAAGTGTTATTGGCAGGATCAGCAGGAGAAAAAAAGGATAAAAAAAGTCTGTACGAAAAAATTTCATGGATGCAGCTATCACATCTAATGACTGGAACCTGCAATATATTATATTTATTTTTTGGGTTTAGATGCAGTCCTTTTCCCTGACCAGTGAGGCTTGTTTTCTTTACTACAATTCCTTTGACTGACGATTGGTCACAAAGATTTTCCAGTATATCAGTAAACCTCTGCCTTTGATAAAATTGATGTTTGATAGCACTTATTACTTCCTTGGCCCTTTCACAACAAACAAGACAAATTCAAGCATGGCTTGTGGCCAATGTGTTAACTTGAGTTAGTAAAACAATCTTGTAAGATGAAGCATGGCAGGGGACAATAGAGCCACAGTAAAGCAGATTTTGCTTTGCAGTGTACAAGCTATGCAGTCTCAGTTTACTCTAAAATGTCTTTTTTTTATCACAATGCTGTAGTATGTAAAATAGGCAACTTAATTGTTTTTTTGATTAGAAGAAAAACAACTCTAAATCTATAATCAGCTAAAAATAGAGCTCCTTTTGTTTGCCAGAGAAACTGCCTTTGGAAAGCAGAGTATTTTAAGTGAATATTTAAAAATAAATCTCTTAAAGGGGAATTTGCCCCCCTAAACCCCCCCCCCCCAAAAAAAAAACAGTAGCATGCAGCTCTGCATGGTGAATTTAAAACACATTCATCCAACACAGTAAACTTTCTAGAAATAAACTTTTCCTTTAGCGCACTTCCTGGTTTCCTTAGGCACTTGTAGCATAGCCCATTGGGAAGGCTACATCACCAGTGCTTTCTAAAGTTTGGTCTTAGATCTTGTGTCCAAGATCTAAGACTGACATCATTGGTGGGTGTACACAGAGAACATGGAAGAATAAGCCAGCCACTGATTACATTTTTTTTTAATTGCATGGGTTTTGCAGCAGGGGGTGGACAGACAAGTGGGGTTGGGGAAATGCAAGACTAAAGAGGCATGTGACTTTAAGTTTATCTTCATATAGACCGTTCAATAGTGCTGATGGTTTATTGAGTAGGGTAGGGGGAAGGTGGAGTACACTTTATCCGGCTGTAGATTTGGGTTCTTGTGTGCTTTGTTTCCAGGAATGCCATATAATGTGGATTTTCTGGCTTTGCTTGAACTAACATTGTGACAAAAAATATCATTAAGTTACAATATCACATACCACAAGTATTCCTAAGCTATTTTCTCCAAGGTGTCATGTGAACTGAAACTAAAGTAAGGGGTCATTTTATTAATGACTACTCAATTTTGATTTAATTACTTATTCCTATTGGAGCGAGCTATACTCTGTAGGACCACTGTATACTGCCATGAGTATGGATCATTCATAGGAATGAATGGGGTCACAGCTTGGGGATCGTTGAATTGGGAACAGAGGTAGGATCACATCTGGTGGTCTACATTCAAAGGGGTGGGGCCGTGCCTTAAAGTGACATTAAACCCTCAGATTTTTTTAACATAAACCAATACTGTAATGTGTGCCTTACTGTAATCCATGGTAGTTTTCCTTCTCTTTGCTGCTCTTCCTTTTAAATCCTCATGTCTTCTCATGCTTGGGGAGAACTTCCTTTTTCAGCTCAGGGCCTCTTCCTGTAGTGCTGGCTCAGGTAACAAACCTATACACAGACACCGTGTATCGATTCCTGAGACAAGATAGTCTGCTGCAAAACAGAAGTTCTGCCCAGATAGAGAACATATACAGATTTAAAAGGAAGAGCAGCAAAGAGAAGGGAAACAACCATGGATTACAGTAAGGCACACATTACAGTATTGTTTTATGTTAAAAAAATCTGAGGGTTTAATGTCACTTTAAACGAAAACTTGTATCAAAGGTAATGTTGTCTTTTAAGACATCACTCTCTACTCCTCAAAAGTAAGCTTATAACTGGGTAGGGAAGCATTTTACCAAAGCCAACCACTGTAGTATAGTTGTAAAGACCGAGAGCTTCTATTTATTAGCCAGTCATTTTCAAGCATAAAACTAGTTCGCTAAAATTAACATATGTTCAGGACAACATCATTGTGCGTGATTGACAAATTCTAGATATCATTTTCTTTTCTGAATACCTTGTAGTGAAGTATGAAGCTAATGATATATTCCTTTCAATTTATATTTGTTTCACAGCAGGAACTATATTAGTCTATAGAATTTAAAGACTGACTTTTCTTTTTTTTATCCACAGAGGAATGACTCCTGCTGAAGCTGAAATGCACTTCCTGGAAAATGCCAAAAAATTGTCAATGTATGGCGTAGATCTACATCATGCTAAGGTGAGGTGATAATATGCACATATATGAATACAGTAAACTCCCCATTATTCCGGCATTCAAGCAACCAGAAAAAAAAACATAGATGACGTGTCCTCATTTTTTTTTGCCAGTTGCTTGATAGACATGTGCACACTAAAACAATTTTGTTAGCAACTAAATTCATTTAGTTGCTAACAAATTTCTCTGTTTACAACTTGCTGTGGCCAGCGGCTAGATTCCTCAGCTGGCAGGTGAATGTAAACAGGCAGTGGGGGTCTGTGCAATAGCCATCCTGCTATTGGCTATGGCAATTTGAAATAGCCAATAGCAGAATCTAGCCTGAAGATAAATGGGGCAGGGGGTTGTAGCTTGAGAGTTTTAGTAACTCTCAAGTAACCAGAAACTACAGTTATCTGGGATCTGCCTATCCCCACAGCATCTACCTTATCCCTACCAGCTAGGTAGCACATAGATAGCTGGGCTGCCTAGCTCTGAGGAAGGGGGCGTGTCCCCGAAAACACGTTCAGCTGTAGCAGTGGGGCTCTGTGTGAAGAACAGAGTTCCCTGAGTGTCTCCATGATTTCTTCTTTTGTACATCCACAGCAGCAAGGTCATTAAGGATTGCTAGTTCATTTGATGTTTCTAGTCACTGCTTCATTTGTGAGTATATTTCTGTATACCATTTTCATTAAAAAAAGGTTTATCTGCGCCAGGAAAGACTGAAACGGGGCAGCCTCTACTGGAGTGAGTGAAGTGTTACTGGCTCAAAGAATGTTTTTCTGGCACTGGTCGGTGTGCTTTTGGATTTGAGCAGTTCAGTTCTGCATGTGTGGGCCCAGAGTGGGTGAAGCGTAGGTTTTTCCAAATAAAACTATCTAGGAATAGCAAAAATGAAGACCCCATTGTTTAGCTCTGGTAGGCGAGCAGCAGACTGAACCTTTATTATACTTAGGAGTGTGTGGACAGTGGGCCACAAGCTGTGTGCTCAACCTGGCAGGTGTGCCACACCACTCCACGGCCGATGTTGGCTATGCAGAAATCATGCCCTGGCAGAATATTGCAATTAGCATTAATGCAGGTGTAAAGACATTCCCATTTATTTTAAGTTTTGTACAGATATTAATGGGCCTTATTAAAGCTGGGTTTTAGGAGCACATCTGTTTAGTCACCAAGACTAAGCGCAATGGGCAATGTACAGTAAGCCAGAACAACCAATCAAAATTCCGCTTTCACTGATTTGACTTCAATAATTTGAAATCCAAATAACTGCTATGACTAAGTGCACTTATGACTATTTCATTGCTCATTGCGCTGTCCTGCTTGTCTTGATAAACACACATTGATTTATTGTAAGTGTGCCAAGACATCAGATCTTAGGAAATGAAAAAACCACTTAGGACAAAAAGGTTTCCTCAACAGACCAGCAAGAGTGGATAAACTTATTAACCTTCTAAATGATTTCCAGTCTTTAGGTCCTCGGGTTTATCATTGACTCAAGCAGAGATCGGCTTTAATAAACTAAGCAAAGCTGGCAGGAATCTCAAATTGCTTTGACACGGCAAGATAGGAAACCTAGAAAATATTACAGCTGTGTGTCAGTTCAGGAGTTTTCACTCTTGCTGGGCAAGATGATATTCCTTATTGTAACAGTTCAGCAGGTTGTATTTTTCGAGCAACATTCTGCATATTAAAGCTTCCTGATGTCCCGCTTATGGTTTTTATGTTTTCTGTAGATTATGAAATAGCTCTCTAGACTTAGACGTTGGCATTGTGGTCCATTTTTAAAGAACATCTCCATAAACATGAAGAATCTTCTACCCATTCAGAGCATGGGGATATTTTATTAATTATAAAATCTTATCCCTTTCCACTGCGAAACAAGTGCAGTCTTTTTTTTTTTACTGGTGGAAAGTCTTTGCTAGACTTGTTAATATGATACCATAATACATGATACCATGAAATGTGTACACAGGAAGCTTTCAGTCATTAGTTAGCATGAATGTGGTTACTTCTATTGTTTCCCATTATGCTCAATACACATACTGTTTTAATGAGAGCCAAGACAACTCTCTACACGTACAACAGTGAGGCTTTCAGACTAAAATCATTATGGGTAAGGGTTTAAGTAGTCCTTAGTAGCATTTGTGCATAACTATAGCACAGTCTTTGGTTAGCAATGCTATATTTGTTAAATTTAAAGTTAGAATTCACTTTACATTTGTATCTATACTGCATGTCCGTAACTGGATCCACCAAATTATAATTTTTTTATCTATGGATTGCATAAAAAGTAGGTTTTTCTTGACAATATCACCAAAAGAAAGCCAGTGTCCAAGTCGATAGACCCTTAGCAGAAATTTAAAAATTGCTCTGATTCATAAGGGGCGTAAAAGTGTGAGAGTCAGTGATTGCTACGCGATCGACTGGTAGATTGCGATCGACCTTGTGGGCACCCCTGGCCTAAATGTTCAAATCGGTACCATTCAGGTTGTGAAGCTGTGGTGTCCAACTTTACTAAACACCCATTCATTGGTGTTTATTGGTTACTTACCTGAACACATACTCCCTGAGCTGTACAATCCCTGTCGAGCAGGAGCCTATTCTGACTGACATTCCTCATTCGAGCCTGTGCATAGGCTGTGGTTAGGACCTCGCAGGCTGCAAAAGAAAGCCCCACTGGCCACTAGTTGGACAGATCTGATGTCTGAAGTAAACTGAAATAAATCCATTTCTTGTCCCTTCCATTTAACATGTGAACTGGAATACAATACATCTTCCAGTGTAGATATTGTTGTAGGATGTATTGTTTTGATGCACAGCAAGTGCTAAAAGAAAAATACAGGAGGGCTATTATTCAGAGATGACTATTTTCTCTCTATTGCAATCAAAATAAGCAAACGTCTAAATCCTTGGCTGATTAATTAAATAGATCTTGCTTTACTATATTATTGTAATTATTCAAAATTAACTTTTGAATTGGTAAAGAATGGCTGATGGGAGAAGAAAATGGTTTTCTACAAATGTCAGCTTTTTTTGGCTATTAGCTTTTCTTTGGCAGAAGATTTCCTTATAAATTAAAAGACTGCATTTCTGCAAGTTGGTCATTTGTGTTTATATTGTCAGTGTACAATTGCTTTTGATTGGGGAAAACAGAGTGTAGAATGTGCCAGTTTGAGTGGATTGAAGCGTGAGATCAAGTAATTTCAAGTGACTCTGGTAAAAAATATAGATCAATGAATACCTCTTCAGCAGACAGGGAGTCCTACAGGACACCGTAATGATATAGGGGCCAGTGAAAGGAATCACAGCACACCGCGGGGAACCATACATCCAACACGTCTGGTGGTTAGTCGGATGTAGAAGATTTTTCAGTTGCCATAGCTTTTCCACAGAATCACTGCCCTCTGGAGGGATAGATTAGGTATCTTTTAGGTCTCATTAACATGGATGTGCGCAAGCATACATTGTGCGTTTCCATTCAGAATCATGCGCCTGGAAGCGACAGCTGGTGTGTGCAGCCACCTGTAAAACTTAATGATAGGATGCAGCTGCACACTGCAATGTGTCGACCAAAACTTGCACATCCATAGAGGTACAGATGCACACCCCTGGACGAAGGCTGTCTGTGTATGAGGCCTTATTGAAGGCTGCTAATAAAAAAAAATGTGTCAGCAGAGTTGCTTTAACCTTTTCACACTGCCATCAATGTAAGGCATATGGCGGTCCAGCTTACCAGGTCAGTATGCCTTACATTGGCTGCATTCAGCTTCTGCTATAAGCTCATGGTCGCCAGTGAGGTAAGTTCCACTCTGTATTACTGCACAGATCTAAAAGAAATACACAAAGCACAGCAAGATTCAAGCAAGAATACACATGCCCTTTTGTATTTGAACACTATTTGCTTATCCTGTAATTTAGCTTTAAGTAAACCAAAATGATTTGTATTCCTTACCCAATCAAATCTAGAAGTGTTTAAATCAAGTAATAGTTTGGAAGCAGCCAGAATGGATAGATTTGGTTGTATATTTTTAGATGAAAGCCCTACTGGGCAGGGCCCTCCTTACCCATCTTGTCTTGAATTGTATTGTGATTTGTAATGTCTTCCTTATATTGTAAAGCGCTGCGCAAACTGTTGGCGCTATATGAATCCTGTATAATAATAATAGATTCTACCATAATGGAACATTTCAGCTTTCTGTTCATTTTACTGTTGGCCCTATGACAGAATAAGGCAGTGCCTAATCATTACAAACAGATCAATTCTTGGCAAACAGGCTGTCGGCAAACGTGCTTGTAGAGCTACTGGAGCCCCTGCCAGTATTTCTCTTTGGCATCCACAGAGCTATGGTTGAACTCTGCGTTTAAGTGACACAGATTAGTTCCGTTATATATATTTTGAGAATGTGTTATATATATTTTGAGAATATCCGTTGTATATATTTTGAGAATATGATAGAATCATAATGTTTTCTGACTAGTTATTCATGTGGTAGTAAAATCCAAAATATGTAACCTGATTTTTCAATATTCAGGACTCTGAAGGAGTGGAAATAATGTTGGGCGTTTGCGCCAGTGGCCTCTTGATATACCGTGATCGGCTACGGATAAACCGGTTTGCCTGGCCAAAGGTTCTGAAAATTTCATATAAAAGAAATAATTTTTATATTAAGATTCGCCCAGGTGAGGTAAGTTGACATCTATAATGGGGAAATTACATTTGTTAATCAAGACAATAGCCAGTTGATATTTTGCTTGCTGTTTGCAGGTAACTGAATGAAGCCTATAATATGAATTGGGGATTTTCAGATATCAGTTCCGATACCAGTGCAGATACTTGGCATTTTCACAAGAACTACCAGGGTAGCATCAGTTGCAGCTGCGACTGGGCCCTGGCACTCCACCACTGTCCTGAAATCATTACTGTGTATTGTTTTAGGAAAACGGGACACAACAAAAATGTATCAGTAACTGTATCTGTGAGTCCTTGGACAAATATCAGTACGTGTTAAGTCGGCAGCATTCCTTGTATGATATTTTGGCAAATGACGCCATGCATTTCAACCCAAATCATAACTATATTCTGGATACTGTCCTATTGATTTGTGATCACATTTAGAAATAGCTGGCCTTTTTGAAGTAATTGTGTAATATTTATGCAATTATTAGTCATATCTCTTGCAAACTGAGAGAAAATTTTATCCACCTCCTTTATCGCATGATAGGGACTGGGTAAATTCTTCTCAGAAGATAGACTAATCTTATTGCTCCCATAGCTATCTGTTGTCACTCAATCCTATGCAGAATGAAATAGTAATGTCTTTTATGTCTTTTTACAATGTACCGGTTCATTGGGTTATAAAAACTTTATTTCAGAATATAGTTTACCTCTAACTCTGTCTTACACATTAGAACAGTGCATAATTTAGTGGTCTTTTCTGTTTGGCTGTTCGGTCATGGGAATAGTAAAATACATTTCAGCACAATTGCTGCATGCCCTGCCTCAGTGACTTTTCATTAGTACCGTCACAGTCTTGTTTCTAGTCCCACTGAATAGATAGGTATTAAATTATGAGGAATGGGGAAAAACTTTATTTTACTTTACTCTCTATTGTTCTATTGGATAATTGTAGGTGGGCGTGTCTCAATGTACTACTTTCGGTATTTGTTTAACAGAATATTTACACTACTTTGTGTACATTGTAATAATTAACATTCATGTTAGTATATTGAGGCTAGGTTCACACCTAGGCGATTGAGCTGGTGAGCTGTTTCCGTGTGGTTGTTGCACGTTTTTGGTTTTGCGCGGTTTAGCTTTGAAAGTTGAGCGGCTTTTAATGTATAGAGATGTCTATGGGACCCAAACCGCACGACAACCGCCCGAAAATGGATCCTGCACCTTTTTGCGTGACAGCCGATTTCTACCACTCGACAAATCGCAAAGGTGTGAACAGCTTCCATAGACTTGAATGGAAATCTGTTTTGTGCGATATCGCGTGGCTAAATCTGCGCAATAAATTGCCGGGGTCTGAACCTAGCCTGAAGAATACATAGCGAATAGATTCTCATTTAGAATTCGCACTAACCTGCTTAATTTCCTTTTACAGTTTGAACAGTTTGAAAGCACCATTGGGTTTAAGCTGCCAAATCACCGGGCTGCAAAACGTTTATGGAAAGTGTGTGTTGAACATCATACTTTCTTTAGGTATGTTTTATTAGTTTTATATGATTTTTTTTTTTTTTAAATACTACACTCTGCTGTTAATACTTTTACCAAAACCTGCTGAATCTGTTGTGGGGTTTACAGTGATTCTTAGAGTCTAGTCCTACAATTTTTATAGGATTAGTCTGCAAAAATATATCTACTTTTCCCTTCTATTCATCATCACAGCTCAAGCTAATTTTTCTTTTTGCCGAGTGCTTACTCTACTCTTTAGGTGAAGTTGTCTTACTTGTTGCAATAACATTAATTTAGACATTGTATATAAGAGGGTTTAAATTTCAGTAAACTGGCCTTATAGGTTTTATATGTGTATCAGTGTGATCGTAAGATGAACTTATAAGCTCCATTGGGTGCATGGAGTGATGTTTCAGACTTTATTAACTGTGTAAAAAGCTGCACTTCATAGTTTTGGAAGTTTATGAATTTATGGAATTTTTGAACTGTAATTTTAAAAACAAGTTCAGCAATTTGGAATGTATTATGGGAAATATTAATCTGCATGTTTCTCCAATACACTATTGTAAATGAATGGCTTATGGAGACACTAAATCATTTACCCTTTTTAATTATAATTCCCCAATTTATATATGTTTTTCTTATTAGTCAACCGAAAACTTAAAGTGGTATTAAGGGCTGTTCTTTGTTTTTTTGTTTTACCAAATATATACTGCTAGCAAGAATTGGAGCATGCTCCAACATTTAAAAAAATGTGTAAAGTTGCAAAATACTGTATTTATTAATTTACCTGTTTCTGCACCGCTCACTCCCGGCTGCAGAACACAGCTTCCTGAACGGCCAGGCCAGGAGGTGGCAAATGCGCGGTTGATGTTATTGGGAGTAGTGGAGGAGTGAGAGAATGTGAATCAGTGAACCCATGCCGGCAGCACACACGTAGGACAGACTACGTGGGATACAGAAAGAAAGTCGGCGCAGGATCAGAAAGTGGCACCAGCATTGAGGGGACTGTTGGAAACGACTTAAAGGAAGATGTTCGCATCAAGAGGTATCACATAAGGTAAGTGCTTACAGCAGCACTAGGAACGGG